CTAAGTGAAGTAAGTCAAAGAAAAAGAAAATACCATATGCTATCACTCATATGTAGAATCTGAAAAAAGATGACACTAATGAACTTATCTACAAAACAGAAAGACTTGCAGACATAGTAAACAATCTTACGGTTATGGGGGGAAGGGGTAGGAACGGATAAATTGGGAGTTTGAAATTTGCAAATATTAACTAGTATATATAAGATGGATAAACACCAAGTTTCTTCGGTATAGCACAGGGAACTATATTCAGTATCTTAGAGTAACCTATAATGACTAAAGAATATGAAAACAAACATATGTTTGTATACATATGACTGAAACATACTCTACACCAGAAATTGACACGTTGTAAACCGACTATACTTCAAGAAGCTAGTTCTCTCCTCCCTGTGCACACTGAGGAAGGGCCACCTGAGGACACAGCGAGAAGGCGACCTTCTGCAAGCCAGAGGAGAGCCCTCGCCACATACTGAATTGGCTGGAACCTTATCTTGGACTTTTGTAAGAAAATTAATTTCTATTAAGTCACTCAGTCTACGATACTTTGTTATAGCAGCTCAAGCAGATTAAGACATCACCCTACTGAAGACTGAAAGCTACAGCTCCCTTACTTCCCGCCTTCCCCCTTCTACATCCTCTGTACTCTGGTCTACTTTTTCTTCACTCCATAGCCCTTATTACCTGGTAACATATAGTTCATGTATTTATTGTCTTATAATTTGTTATCTGCCCCAAATGTAAGCTCCCTGAGGATAGGAGTCTTTGTTTTATTCAAAACTGTATTCCAAGTTGTGAGAACAGTACTAGGCACATAGTAAATACCCAATAAATATTCTAAATTTACTAATAAATAAAAATACTAATTTTGAAATAGACATTAACATTTTCAGGTTGAAGATCAGATATTAAGCCGAATAAGAACATACAAGTTATTAATCATTTGTTTTTGATACAATTAATTACAACCAATTTTAAGTTATATGATTTAAAATTTTACCTTAGGAAATATCAAAAGTCAAGTGACAAAATAAAATAGGTTAACTGTCTGTGAAATATGCAGGGATTAATGCTTCATCTTCTCCC